TGGAATTAGTTAATTTTACCGCCACACCACCCCGTTAAGTACAGTAGGTTCTCAAATTTCGCGAGTTTTTAATTCGACATTTTTTATTTGGACAAAAAAACACTACACAATTTCAAATTTCGACGGCGGAAACTCAGATTGTGATTGGTTTGAGACAAGACGGCATTGTTTTCGTTAATGTTTACAAAACCAGAGAATGACTGGTTCTACATATAAAACTGAAGAAAATAAGACCCTGGTTGTAGCTGTAGTAAAATTAATGTAAAAAAATTAATATGACTGTTTTAAGTAATGTTATTTAATGTTAATAAATGGAACAATAGAAGTAGCTAACCATTAATGGTAAAGAAAAAAGTGAGACTGCGCGTATGTAAGTGCGCAAATGTGAAAACATATCGTCATTACTCTACATAAGAATATGAAAGCAGCACTTATTTACTGTTCATATATGTTTTAATTAATGTGTCTGAATTTTAAAAAAAATTCTACTCACCAGTGGTGGTAAAGTTGAAAACATAAGGACAGCCAATGTAGTTGTGTGTGTTTTTACTCGGATGACGAAGTTGCCAAGTCATAATGTTCAACTCTAGCTGAAGCTGTAGAACATAAGAACTTTTGCTGTGTTGTTTTTAGTTTGTATTTAACTTTATCTGTGTTATTTTTGTTGATTTATTAGGATGTTGCTTTATTACAGGTAATAATTTGCCAAAAAAGTAGGGTAAATAATACAAAATTTAGCCAAACATCGAAAGTACCAGATTCAAATTATTTTCTCCATAGGAAGTTGTATTTAAATTTGGAAGATTTGAATTTCGCGAGGTTTTTACAGTCTAAAATGGTGTCCAAATATGAGAGCCTACTGTACAGTACTGCGGTGTCCCTCAGGACTCATTTAGTTTAAAACTCGGGTTGAAACGCGACGACCCTCTTCAAGGGAAGATGTTTAATAATACGTACGGGTGTATCACTCTTTGCTGGTCCATCACCACTCTTATTATGTCTTATCACATCACATCAAGCTGGCCTGCACAAGAGGAACTATCACTGGGACGTTTAGGCATGACTGAGTAGCACACTAAGTCGGAAATAATGAAAAAACACGAAGAGACAAATAGTAAATGTAAACAAGAGCAAAGATGGCAGGAATGAGTTTGGGCAGTGCACATTGCCCTCTGGTGACAATAATTCACCATGCTACCGCTCGCCAAATTTAAAACAACTCTGCTGAAAGTCTGAGCTCCATTGTATAAACGAAACTTGTGGGGTATTTCCCCTAAATTTAATCAGTGGTCAACTGGAAGCCGGTTTTTGGAGTACACCTATACCCTTGTATAGCCCAAAAATAATGAAAATATATTATAAAACTATAAAATAAGAAAACTGAAGAGCATATGTGTGTATGTTTGGGAAGTGAATGTATGCATGGACTTGTGGAGGCAATGGGTTGTAACTGTATCACCAACCCACGCTCCCTTTCCCAGTGTGACATCACAGCACACACACACACACACACACACATACATACATACATACATACATGCATATACGTCTCGGAGTCAGCTGGGTGACTGCTTGGCTGAATGGTGTCGTGTCTCCTAGATTATGGTTTTAGTGTGGAAGGAGCTATTTTTTCGTACATAAAATATGTGTTATTATATTTTATGATATACTGTATATGTACTGTATCAAATTTATTTTTTATCTTAGTAAGTTTTGCTCATATTTGACGTATGTAATTTGAAATTTGTTCAAATTAGGTTTGCTTTTTGCTCACTGAGTCGTTTAACTCTGAACCACATTGTTTATATAGAAGTTTGGTGTTAAATCAATCATTTAACTTCAAAACCATTTGTAGCAAACTTATTATTATTATTAGGGAGTACAGTAATGTACTCATTTATTTGAGTAGGATGATAAATTTTCCACAACTAAAGTACCAACTGTTTGTTCGTTGTGGTATGTGCAATACCTACGACACAATTATTTTTTAAATTAGTTTATCAATGTTTTTTATTATACAGTCAACCCTCGCTTTACGCGGTCCCACTTTACGCGTTTCCACGTTTACGCGGTACCCTGCCGAAACCGGAATGCTCACTTGCCGCGGTGCGTGTACCCCTTTACGCGGAGAGCGGCTGGCGAGCCGCGCCATTTTTGGATCCAAACCTCCCGCCCTCTCCCGCCATCCGCCATGTTGTGTAAGCGGCGCGAGTAGGTTGCGCAGTGTGTGTCTTTGTTGCGTTATCACTGACGTCATATGACGTATCGGACTGTAATTGGGCCATGCATCCTTACCTCCCTCCGCTGCTAGCTATGATTGGTTTAAAGTAATATGACGTGTCCACCCGCGGGAGGGAGGGAGGAAAGACGACGCTTGACCTAGCCGCGGCAGTTTCATCCCTCCAGGCCACACCGTGTATACGTGAATCCATTGTTCTGTAAAATGGCTTCCGCCGGACCACCGCCCCCAGAGAGAAACCTTTCCTTACCTGGACCCAGCCGCCCTAAGCCAAAGAAGACACGACGTTCCATAAGCTACGAAATTAAGTATAAGATCATACAAGAGTTGGAGAAAGGAACAAGACAGGTTGATCTCGCGCGCCAGCATGGTGTTAACGAGTCTACGATCAGGACAATTAAGAAGGATGCAGCCAAGATAAAGGAGCACATGAACATCACAAAGTCTACAGGTGCTTCTATGATCAAGCATTGCCACAACCAGGTGCTTCTCAAGACAGAAAAATTACTTGTGAGCTACTTGGTGCATCAGGCGCGACGGAACTTGGCGGTGGACGCGCGCTCAGTTAAGGAGTACGCACGTGAACTGTATGCTGCAGTGTCATGAAAGATGGGAATTACAGAGCCCAAACCCTTTAATGCTTCCTCTGGGTGGTTACAGAGGTTCAAGAAGAGAAACAAGATCACCAATATCAACATTGGTGGTGAAGAAGCTAGTGCTGACCGTGTTGCGGCTAGGGAATTTCCTCTGTTTTTACGTGAGATTATGGAGGAAGGACAGTACACCGACGACCAGGTGTTTAACATGGACGAATCTGGTCTTTTTTGGAAAAAACTACCTTCCAAGACCTTCGTTGTGAAGAATGCCAGCAAGTGTCGGGGCCGGAAGTTGCAGAAGGAGCGCATCACCGTCCTGTTTACCACCAATGCCTCCGGTACCTGTAAGCTCAAGTTATCGGTGATCCACACAGCACGCAAGCCGCACGCCTACAAGAGCATGGACATGACCAAGCTAAATGTCCACTGGCTGACCGCACGTAAGGTGTGGATGTTCTCTACACTGTCCCTCTCCTGGTTTGATGACTGTTTCGTTCCCGATGTGAAGAAATTCTGTGAGCAACAGAATGTGCCATTCAAGATTTTGTTGCTGCTGGACAACGCACCAGGACACTCACCCCTACTGTTAGATCGTCACCCCAACATAAAAGTGGTCTTCCTTTCTCCCAACACTACGTCTATATTACAGCCCATGGACCAAGAGTTAATCTGTAATGTAAAAACTGCATTCTCTACTAAAAAATTCAAGCTCCTGAACGACTACACCAACACCAAGGAAGAGTTGCGTAACCTGAGTGACACCACCACCGATAGCAAGAGCGAAGACAACGAGGATCAACAGTTGGCAGAGCAAGAAGTACTTTTAAAACAATTCTGGAGAATATTCAACATCAAGAAAGCTGTGGACTTCTTGGTGGAGGCATGGGATCAGCTGTCTGTAGCAACTGTTCGTCACGCATGGAGACATGTGTTGCAAGGCATTCCGGGCGTTAGGCAGAGTCAATCTGTGACTGGTGAGGTTCAGACTGTTGCAGTAGCAGTGGACCTTGCCAGAGAAGCTGCGCAGAGTGTTACAGCTGCAGGCTTCTCCGAGACCACCAACGACGACATCCTGGAGGTGATAAGGGATCCTGATATGACTGTCGACGACATGGTAGATGATGATGACGTCAGTGAAGAGGCAGGTGGTGCGTCATCCCAAGAAGAACACCGCTTATCCCATAGTAATGATAGGGGTGCCATCGAGTGTATCGAGAAAGCCAAGCTCCTCCTTTCCGACGACCCTGACGCAAACAGGTATGAAATCTTCACTACCCAGCTGTTGCAGACTATGGAGCCCTACATCAAGGTTTATCACGACAACATAAACACCAGCCGTCAGCAAAGCATAACAGAGTTCTTCGCCCGCAACCCACCACAGCCAGCCCAAGCCAGTGATAGTGACAGAGGTAGAGACAGTGATGATGACTTTGAGGGATTTGTCAGGGAGGCACTAGTAAGTGTGGATTACACCGATGAAGACTCACCTGAGGGCCAGTAGCCTGCCCTCTGCCTCGGAACCAGCCTCCATTCCCCTACGCCGACCCATCTCTTCTACTAACATAAGTGTTAACCCCAACCTTGTTTTTTTCTAACCTAACCTTCAGTTTATTCTTCTCTTATTGACTGTTCCCTTCTATATTATGTGTGGGTGAATACCATCATAAAGTTAAGAGGTTATTTTTAGTAAAACGTAGGTATTGTGTCGGGAAAAAGTGGAGTTTCGGGGTCGGCCCGGTCTCTATTTCAATTAATCCCATATGTTATGTTGTTCACTTTACACGTTTCTCACTTTACGCGGGCCGCCGTGGGTTGAATTAACCGCGTAAAGTGAGGGTTCACTGTACAACATTTAGGTATGATATTTATGTTAATATTAGCAGCTTTACCTGGTGAGAGATTTAACTCTCAACTCAGTATTGAGAGGAACATCATTTACAAGCCCCAACCTAACCTGGCCCATTGCTTTACTATGATTTTATTATAACTGTAAAGGCAGTCCATCTTCATTATTGTTTCTATTACTGTACTGTACTGTAATGTTTAGAAGGGAACCATATGTTCAGGTAGTATCCATGCCCCTCAGTCGTCAAAGAGGCAATGATTCTATGTGGCTGAATAATCAGGAAGGATATTTTCTAAAGTTATTAAATTTATGGTTGTAGGTGAAGATGACAGTGCACAAGGGTCACCTGAGTGATGAGGCACTGTGTTCCCCTGTTGTAGGTGAACCCTTGGCCACCTTGACACACCTGCGGCATTACATGTCACCGGGGGTCCAGCGCATTCCTGTTAGATTCGGAAAGGTTCGAGGTTGCCTATTCCTGCCTCCAGGTATGTTATATAATTTTTTAAGCTCTTACTGTATATGCTGTAGTATATAGTTCTAGGATTAATCAAGATTTGTACATAATTGCAGGAAATGGTCCTTTCCCTGGAGTGATAGACATGTTTGGGTCAGCAGGCGGCTTACTGGAATATCGATCAGCACAACTTGCTTCAAGAGGCTTTGCATCCCTTGCACTTGCTTTCTTTGCATATGATGACTTGCCCAAACATCTTGAGGAATTTAATATTGCCTACTTTGAGGAAGCTGTAGAATTCTTGTTAAAACAAGAGAAGGTAAGTAACATATCTCCCTCGGTTGCTCAGATTTATGTTAAGGTTGCTCCATAAATAGCACACACCATTTCAATATTTTTAGTTGGGCATGGAACAGTATTAGTAAAGTAATTAGTTGTGTGTTGATAATTAGACAAACTTTTCAGAGGTGGATGTACTGTTAAATCAGAATAATAGTGCAAGAAAATGGATGTTAACTGATATGAATGTTAAGGAATCACTCTGTGTTCTATAAATCAGTTGGGGAAATATGTGTAGTGCATTTACAGTATATAGTACTTATTTTACCCCCCTTTTCCCCCATTTTTATTTTTCCCTATGCAGTATGTGAAGTTTCTGTGAACCTTGATCCACCCTTCACAAAAGTGGGAGAAGTACTGTATAGAGATAATGAGTAAACATAATTTTTTGTAAATAAGGATGTGAAATCTAAAATTCACAAAAACGTCAATGCTGAGCTGAAAAAAATCAAATCATCTGGTATTAACCAAATAAAATATTGAAAGTGGCATCCCTGTAGTGAAATTGCCTTTACCCATGGAAAATAAGATCCAGTTGTTTTGTTTAAGAAAGCATGTTCAGACTGACCTGACCTGATACCATGTCAGGTCACCTATTGTCGGGGTAGTGGATTAGTGGGGCTCATGACCTCAAGATGTCTTGAATAAAGGCGAAAGCTAAGGTGCTCTAGTGTTTTCCCACTTACTGAATGTACAGTATAGTATATGTAACCGTAATAACTTTTTACATTCTTAACACTATATTCTTGGCTGATTTTGTCCTGGTACAGTAATGGACAGTACTGCACAACACAATTTTTTTTTGCAAAAACAGCAACTAGCTAAGGGACAACCTTCTACATTGGCAGCAGAATATGAACTAAGCGATCCAAGGAGCTAGGCCACCCAAGCATCTGGCACGTGGGGATGCGTGAGACCATGAGGTAATTTCTAACTTTAAGAAGCTGTACACAAAGGCACTGTTTAGAAAATGTTTTGCGTCCACTTCTTCCAGTAATGTTAGTTTGAAGGAATTTTGGAAGAGTCACTTCAATATAGCAGAAGCTGTGTTTTTAATTGCGTCAGCCTGGAAAGAGGTTACTGTGAGGTGTCTTTGTGCTGCTTGGAGGCCATTGTGGCCTGAATGTGTCCTTCAAAGAGACTTTGACGGCTTCGAAGAGTTAGAGGAAGAGGCTCTTTGTACATGAAATTGTGTCTCTGGGCAATTGCATGGGCCTGGAAGTGGATGATGTTGAGGAGTTGGTGGAAGAGCACAGTAAGGAGCTGTCCACTGAGGAGCTGCTTGAGCTTCACAAAGAAGAAATGAGACACTGAAGCGGAGCTTAACTTCTGAGGAGTCAGGGGAGGATGAGGACAAGGAGGAAAGCCGCTTCATTCCAGCCAAAGATCTCAAGGATCCGTTCTTTTGCTGGAGCAAACTGTCTAAGCTTGCTGAGGATTATCATCCTGATGTTGGTTCTGTGCAAAAGGCCATCAGTGTGTTTAATGACAATGTTATGAACTACTTTTGGAAGGTCCAGAAATCAAGGTTGAAGCAGCCAACCCTGGATACCTTCTTTACAAAGGTAACAAAAGAACCTACAGACAAAGTGCCTGTGAGACAGTCACCAAAGAGGGCTAGGAAGGATGACTCCTCTCCTTCCACCTCTTCTCAATAATTCTCTCCTCCCCCCTCCTCCCCCCTCCCCCTCTGCCTCCTGTCCTGCATGCTGAACAACACTAAGGTAAAATAAAGTACCGTATTTTTTACATTTTCCACAGAATTTTTTCAGTGTTAAGTGGTTGTATTTGGGGGCCTGGAACGGATTAATCCTATAACGAATGAGCTTCTGGAACCAATTACGTTCGTTATAGCATACCCCACTGTACATAGAAAATCGAAAATGGGTGTCTCTTTTTTTCTTCTCAGCACCACAAAACTCTCACTTTTAAGCTTGCCAGCCATTTTAAAGTGAATTACAAACAAAAATTTTGTCAGTACACAGCGCAATCACTAATGTCGGGACTCGAAAATACGTAATTTGACAAAATTTTGGTACGACTGAGGTGGTCGTAAGTTGGGGAGTAGCTGTATTTGTGAGAATATTTTCCCATTATTATATATTTGTATGTGTTTTGTGTGTGTGTGTGTGTGTCTACACATACACACAGGTAAAATAAATAATTGTCTTAAGGGCAAACACATAAAGGGAATATACATTTCTTTGTACACAAGTAAAAATGTCCCCCCCTTCCCCTCCGGGTCAGCAAATGTTATTTGCGGATTTGGCGATTCACGGCCATTTTGAGAACCTAACCTAATTTGGGGGGTCCCCTGTATGTGTATATATATATATATATATATATATATACCAGTATATATATATATAGCTAACTCTAAGTCTGTTTGCAGGTGTTTGGTGATGGTGTGGGCGTAATTGGGACAAGTAAGGGTGGCGACTTGGCTCTGTCAATGGCTGCATTTATTCCTTCAGTTCATGCTTGTATTGTTATTAATTGTTGCAATACACCTAGTGTAAAAGGACTCAGAGTTAGGGATTGTTTTTATACTCCTTTAAATCATGTTTTTAGAAATGTTCGTGTATCAGATGAAGGAGTTGTTTTTGGTAAAGAAATTGCACAAGATCCACGGCTTCATCCAGAGTCAATTATCCCAATTGAAAAAAGCCAGTCAGCTTTTCTCTTTTTGGTTGGCAGTGATGACCAAAATGTTAAATCTGAATTCTTTGCACAGTTATCTTATCAAAGGTTGCGAGATCATTCATATCCCAAGCACTATGAGGTCTCATCATATCCAGGAGCTGGTCATCTGATTGAACCCCCATACTCACCACACACTCCCATTTCATTCCATAATTCTTATGCACTGCCATTGATTTGGGGTGGAACTTCAAAGCACCACACTCTTGCACAGGTGCAGGCTTGGTCCAAAGTGTTAGACTTCCTTCGGGTTCATCTTGCTAAGGGGGAATCTATATCTAAACATAAATGTGCTCTAAAGAGTCATTTATGAGGTGAATAATTCAAATGCAAAAAATTTCATGAGAAGATATGGAAGAGGTTTCAAAAGAATGTATTTGATTACAGTAATATATTTCAACACTGGTGATGGTGGGAAGGTTGAGATGTATCACAGAGTTTTGAAAGGCAGACAAAATTCCAGTTTGCAGTTCAATTTGTCAGAAGGGTTGCAGTCAGCTCTAATCAGTGAATAGGTGTGTCAGGTGCAGATCCAGGAATATCAAAGGGGGGTCCAAGAAGTTGTGGGTGGAAGAACATGGTGAGCACAGTGAGCTCACCCAGCTGGGGGGTTTCAGGGGGAAGGGGGCACTGTAAGCCCTCAGAATTTTGTTTGAAGTCTGACCAATATCATGGGCATTTTGAGGCCATTTTGAAGCCATGTGCACTTGATATTAGTAAATATTCTGGGGTCAACAGTAATTATTTTTTATGAAACAAAAATGACAATACAATTCTGCATTAAAGAAAAAGTATGTATTGGATTTTTCTGATGAAAAGGGGGGGGGTCCAAACCCCTAGGACCCTCCTGAATCCACCCCTGTGTGCACAGTGGAAACCAGCAGGAGTGCAAGTTTCTACATTGTGATCAGCTAAATTGTGTCTATATCTTTGGCAGAATGGTAGAATGACTGCAACTTGTATACTCTATTGTTCACCAGGTACACTGGGTTAAAATCAATTCAGTGCCTAAAGGGGGTATTACACTGAGCAAAATTTCCACCTTTCTTGATCAAAAACTGACTTTCCCAATCAAACACTCAACTGTGGCACCATTCACATATCACCATTGCTTGGAACAAAACTATAACAAAGATGGCTGGTCGTCCAAAAGTGTTATTGTTTTACTGTATATCTCGGCTTATAAGACGGAATTTGAACATTAAAAAAATCTGCCCAAAGTTAGGGGGTCGTCTTAATCACCAGGTATAAAATTCTTACCTCTTAAATATTGTGGTTTAGTGTGTCAAGAGTGGTGATGGAAACATCGTAAGCCACTCACAAGGTCCTACCACTAATTATTTTATACTGAAACTTACATTTGGCAAGCTGGATTCAAATTAAGATTACCGGTATATTAAAATAATAAAAATGTATTATAAACCTGTCTAACATACTGTAAAAGAACAATATACCCTGTAATAAACACAGCTATCATCACACACCCCTCCCCACGCCCCCCCAGTTTGCCAGTGAGGAGACAAGAAAGGGAAAGTGACCGCGAGATTGGGCTATTTTTAGCCGTTGTGGTGGTCAGTAATGCATATCGGTATATTTACTGATGATAACACTTATCTCCTATAAATAATTAATTTAAAATTTATTTTTTTACAAGGAATATTCAGTAAATGACTGCGTTAATTCTTGAAACTACCGACAGTTAAATACAGATGCTTAAGTGACGTCACTAGTGTTTACACTACACCAGCTGGTAACATTTGATGCCATTACTTGAAGTGAATTGGCCTTATTTTAAGTAACTAACCATAAATAAATACAAAAAGTATAAAAAAAAGATCAAAAGTGAGAAATAATATACTGTATGTATGTTGTGTTGTCAAAGTAAGAGGAACAATTGAAACTGCAATTGTGTGTAAATGAGGCAGAAAGTCAGGTCAGCGCTGAACCTGGGACTTGGTCACAATTTTCGTGATGCCATATGGCAGCAGGGTCTACCATTAGACAACACATTATGCTTCCAATATCTTCCCAGGCGGTAGTATCTACCTGTTTGGTAGCTGCCTACTACCTACACAATTTTTAGTAATATTACTTTGATACATGATAAATTAGACAAACAATAAACATCAAATTTAATTTCCAAGACGCTTCCCATTGGCAGCTGTAAGAAGAGGGGGAGATGGGCTATTTTTATCCCGTCTTTGTGTCTGAAGTGGCCAGTAATACCATATATTTACTGATCATAATACTTATCTCCTATAAATAATTAATTTAAAATTTATTTTTTACATATAATATTCAGTAAATGACTTATAAATAAATAAACAAATAATTCGGTAAATCTATTTCAAGTAAATGGAAAATAAGCAAACAAATGTTATTTACCAAGACCCTTCCCTCTGGCTCAGGGTGAGATGGAGGGGAGATAAAGAAGGCTATATATAGCCCGTCTTTGTGTCTGAAGTGACCAGTACGCTAATGCACCATAAATAATTCATTTAACATTTATTTTTTGTACATATATTTTGTTGTGTGTGTGTGTATATATATATATATATATATATATATATATATATATATATATATATATATATATATATATATATATATATATATATATATATATATATATATATATATATATATATATATATATATATATATATATATATATATATATATATATATATATATATATATATATATATATATATATATATATATATATATATAATGTATGTATGTATGTATATATATATATATATATATATATATATATATATATATATATATAATGTATGTGTATGTATATATATATATATATATATATATATATATATATATATATATATATATATATATATATATATATATATATATATATATATATATATATATATATATATATATATATATATATATATATATATATATATATATATATATATATATATATATATATATATATATATATATATATATATATGTATGTATGTATGTATGTATGTATGTATGTATGTATGTATGTATGTATGTATGTATGTATGTATGTATGTATGTATGTATGTATGTATGTATGTATGTATGTAATAATAATAATAATAATAATAATTAACGGTTTATTGAAAGAGCTTGGCAGCCAGAAGGCTGAAAATATACAGTTACATATTTGGGGAATGGGTTACGAATTACAAATAATATACAAGTGACATAAGTGACACAAATAAGACATATAGTAACTTAGATGGGGATCAGCTCAAACTACAGTTCATTTCAACATAGTGACAGTGTAGGGAGCAGTGTTTACTGGGAGTGAATACACTGATTTATTACATGTTATTGATAATTTTACAATGGTTGGGACTGGGCTGTTCTTATAGCGATCAGCGTCTGCACGTATGGGGTGTGAACCCAGAAGTATATATATATATATATATATATATATATATATATATATATATATATATATATATATATATATATATATATATATATATATATATATATATATATATATATATATATATATATATATATATATATATATATATATATATATATATATATATATATATATATATATATATATATATACAGTGACCCCTCGTTTAACGAACACCTCGGTTAACGTAATTTGATTAACGAACTGCCTTCCATCTTCAATTCGGTTAACGAAAAAAAATTCGCTTAACGAACTTCTTACGAACCGACCTCAACATGTTTTCGCTTGCACTGACCGGGCAACCAGCTTTAGTATCAGTCCGCCAATACATTAATCGGTTCTAGGGCTTAAATTCCTTACTATTTTTGTAAATATCAAGAAGTTTATACTATTCAATAATTTTAAAAGTTTAATATTCAATTTTTTAGTCATTTTAACAATTATTGAACAAAATTGAAGGTAAAGTGACTAGTTTAATGCGCGGCATCCAGCCTCTTAACACAGCAAACAGGCGTCAGTCTCTCTCTGTTTTCACTGGAGGTAACATCTTGCTTGAGACTCTTCAACTAAACGCTTTTTTTCTGTGTTTCCAAGCAAATTATTGGTCATTTTGAAATATATTTTATATATTGACAATATATAATGCAGTGCAGCGTTGATTTAAAGAAAATAATCTTGAATTAAACCAGAGAGCTAAAATTTTATGGGTGAAATGGCACCATGGGGTGACTTCTCTTCCACCCCAATGCCTTCTCTTCTTCCTTCTCCTCCACCCCCATTCTAAATCCATCATCATCATCATCCAGGAGCCTTCTACATACACACCTCAAAGTAAGTGAACTTTTCTACCAATGGTTTCGGTTAACGAACGACCTTCTGGAACGGATTGAGTTCGTTAACCGAGGGGCCACTGTATATATATATATATATATATATATATATATATATATATATATATATATATATATATATATATATATATATATATATATATATATATATATATATATATATATATATATATACATACATATACACAGTAATACCCCGCTTAACACGGTTTCGCTTAGCGCGATTTCACGTATACGCGGCGCCTCGCCAGAGCTGAACTTTCACTTAACGCGGGTTTTTTCCACGTATACGCGCAGAGTGTCCGGCTCGAGAGCTATTATTAGATTCGCCCCACCTGCCACCCTGCCTGACTGCCTGCCTGCCTGTTTTAGCTCATAAAATTCATACAAATTACCCGGCCAGAATATAATTTACATTGCTGGAATTCTTACAATATGATGATCATTTTCAATATAAACATCATAGATTTTACATTAGACATACAAATTTTAGATATAATGTTTACTCTGAGTAAATATGTTATCTTTTGTGCAAAATATATGACATTTATATTCAAAATATTCCTGGTCTTACAAGGATTCCAGCAATGTCAATTGCATTATCCTAACTTTAGTTTGAGGTATTATTTATTAAAATTTAGTGGTTTTCCCCCCAAAATTTCTCAGAGAAGGAAGAGCCAGCAGTGCAGTGTGAGAAGAGGGGGAGGGAGTTGAGTCCATTATTTGAATGGACATTAACTTGGCGACTGTATTTCTCTATTTCTCTTAAGTATTAATTGTGTGCATGTACCAGAATAAAATTAAGATGTTATTTTTACTAGAACATAGGTATTGTGTCGAAAAAAGTGGAGTTTGGGGGTCGGGCCAGTTTCTATTGGAATTAATCCCATATGTTCTGTTGTTCACTTAGCGCGGTTTTCACTTAACACGGTACCCTGTGGGTTTTATTGACCGCGTTAAGCGGGCAACTACTGTATATATATATATATATATATATATATATATATATATATATATATATATATATATATATATATATATATATATATATATATATATATATATATATATATATATATATATATATATATATATATATATATATATATATATATTTTATATATATATTTTATATATATATATATATATATATATATATATATATATATATATATATATATATATATATATATATATATATATATATATATATTTATATATATATATATATATATATATATATATATATATATATATATATATATATATATATATATATATATATATATTTATATATTTATATATATATGTTTGTGTAATAAATGTATGTAGTAAGTACATAATCTTTTTCACTCAAATCCTAATGAAACACCACAATTAGAATACGGTGGTAGCTGTTGTACAAACAGTCGGAACACAGTCCCACCACGGAGACGAGGGAACACTCCCACCACCTCTCGTGCGAAGCAAGCGTATAAATTAAAGAAAATACTTGCAGTGTGTTTAATATGTTACAGTATATTATAAATAAATAAATAAACAAATAAATTGGTAAATCCATTTCAAGTAAATGGAAAAATTTCACTTGACACCCACATTAGTTCCAGTTACCGGTAAATAGCAGACGCTTAAGTGACGTCACTAGTGTTTACACTACACCAGCGGGTAACATTTGACGACATTACTTGAAGTGAATTGGCCTTATTTTAAAAAACCAAGGATGGTTGGTAAAGGACTACTGGATCAGTGTTTAAGTGTCACATTTGGGGTACCGGTCTTATACAGCGAATAGAGCCCAAAAGCTACTTTTTAAATGGAAATTTGGGGGCCGTCTTATGCACCCCGCCGCCTTATAGGCCGAGATATACGGTAAGCTTTTCTTGAGACACAATGGATGTCTGGAATCCCACAGCACTCTGCACACTCTCACTTTATCAACAAAGGAAGTTTCAGCTCCCTTGTTCAAATACTTAATTGATGATGCTTGAG